TCCATGTAATTTATTCTGCCTATCCATTCATATATAATTCTGGAGAGGAAGGTAGCCAAGGAAATCGGGATGTCCACATGACGCTCACTAAGGCCACAAGAAGGACTTTGCAGTCAAGAGCAGATACAAGGGAGAGATAGAAAGTCAGGGAAATGAAAGGCTGGGGTGTGGGGGGTAACACATACAAACAGCACTAAGAGCCTCCAGGGGATGTTTAGAACAAGAGAAAGAACAAGAGAAGTGGCGGCCGCTGTCTGATCAGACGACACAGCTAATTTAGAGATGACACAGCGAGAACAGAATTGCTCAGTTCTTACTTGGTTTTCATCTACTTTATAAAGAACAATCTTCCGCCAGCAAGGAGAGCAAACGCCAGCCAGGAGGAAATGAAAGTCTGAGACAGGGTAGCGATAGGAAGAGGGCACCTGGCGGCTGCCAGGCTTGGATGAGTGACATCCCAGAGCTGACAGAATTCTGAACATGTCCCCAGATACTGTAATAAGAGGAGCTACCAACAGCCAGAGAGAGAGAGAGAGAGAGAGAGAGAGAGAGAGAGAGAGAGAGAGAGAGAGAGCAAGCCCCCAAGGGGCCTGTAAAAACAAGAAATCATGAGAGCAATTTCTGACTGTTCTGGAAAAGCAAAGATTTCACTTTAGTGTTTTTGGTCTCTTGTTAATCATAGCCAATTCTTCAGCCCCGGTTGACCAGAACAGCCAAATTCTTAATTCAAAATATTGAAGAGCCCTAGAAGGGTCTTTAAGGGATGCTCAAAGTTCCCTCTGAAACTTCACAGGTCAGATCTCCATTGTCTGCACTGCTCTTAGCATTATCATCTAAGTTCCCACAGTAGCTCATTAAGCTCTAAACATTCAATGGTTTTTCTATCCCAAAGTTTCAAGTCCCTCCTCAATCCTCCCCAAAACAAGAGGGCCGGGTCTGCCACAGCAATACCCTACTTCTGGTACCAATTTCTGTCTTAATTGGGGTTTGTATTGCTATGATAAAACACCATGATCAAAAGCAACTTGGGGAGGAATGGGTTATTTCAGCTTACAACTAACTCTCAGTTTACACTCCATTCTGAGGGAAGTTGAGGCAGGAACTAAAGCAGAAGCCATGGAAGGATGCTGCTCAATAGCTTGCTACCCATGGCTTGCTCCCCATGGTTTGTTCACCCTGCTTCTTATACCATCTAGGACTATGGGCCAAGAGGTGGTACCATCCACAGTGTGTTGGGTCCTCTCACATCAATCGTTAATCAAGAAAATGCCCTACAGACTTGCCTCCAGGCCAGCTAATGGAGGCACTTTCTCAATTCAGAGTCCTCTTCCCAGAGAACTCGAACTTGTGTCAAAATGACAAAAAAAACTAGCCAGAATACTGATAACATCTGGAAAAAAATGGCAAGACAACAACATATGAAACCCGGGGAAGTGTGGTCTAATTCCAGAAACGTTCAGAGAGACAAATGTCTCAAGTTTATTAACAGAAACATCCAGCCTGGCATGGTGGCACATGCCTTTTATCTCAGCACTTGGGAGGCAGACACAAATGGATCTCTGAGTTTGAAGCCAGCTTGGTCTATAGTGAGTTCTAGGCCAGCCAGGGATACACAGGGAGACTCTAACTCAAAACAACAAAACAAAACTTCTGGTAAAATTCTAGCACAGAAGAGACAAGTGTGTGGATCCAGTAAAATGAACACTGTCTGCCTAAGCTCGTGTCAGATGGTAACTGAGTTCCAGAGCCACTGTTTAGTCAGGAAACAGCATCAGGCAAGGCTACACAGCCTCTGTGGAGCGGGCGTGGACACACAGGCTCCATGAGAGCATCACTGAAGAACCCCAGGACAACTGCAGCTCCAAAGGCTGGAGAGAGGATTCGTCTGGAGAGGGATTTTCATGGCACATGGCTCTGTCATGAATCCCTGCCTTGCAGGGGGCAGAGGTGACTTAGAGGACAAAGGCAGTTTGCTGACATCTGCTGGGTGAAAGACCAGGAAACAGCTGCTGAGATGGAGGGGTTGAGACCTCAAGCTGCAGAAGCAGAGAGCTTGTGTTTGAATCTCAGCCCCACCACTTACTGGTTGCGATGTTAAAGAACTTTCCAGTTTACGTAAACTTACATATACACCAGTGTATGTGTATACATATGCACATTGTAGGGAAAAGGGGCTGGCTAGAGGAACCCACCCTGACCCTGGAGCCCAGAATTAGGGAAGGATGACTAAGTAAGGCCAGTGAGAGAAACACAGTTTAGCTCAGATCAGAGCCATCTCTGCCCCTGTCCAACTGACTTGTGAAATCAACCAATCACAGAGCAGGAGAGTAGAATCCTGGCTGTAGAGCCCAGGACCAGGGAAAGAAACACACCCTGTATGTCTGGGACCTGAGCCAGAGAAATGAACACTTTATCCCCAAACCCAGAACCCAGGAAATATGCCCTGACTCTGACTAGTACCAAAATAATACTCTTGGCCCCTAGAATCAGAGTCAGTGAAAGAAATGTGCCCTGGCCTTAGAGGTAGTGTCAAAAAGCCAAGAAAGGCCAGTGAAAGAAACAGTTTGGCCCTGAAATCAGGGCCATCTCTGCTTCTTGCTCACAAAACTGGCCAATCCCTGGGCAGAAAATAAACTAACCAATCACAGTTGACTCTGCCCCCTAGACATCCTATATAAACCGCCCTGCCCGGTCAGTTGTGAGCTGTTCTCTCCACCCTGGTAGAGGCAGCTACTCTCCTGGACTCCTCCTTCCCAAATAAATCTCTTTCTCAAAAGAGTATTGGGTGAAGACCTTCATTGAGAGCTGAACAGAAGAACCTTGCTGGGATGTCCCATAGTGGACTGAGCAAGAAGGAGCTGAACAGAAGAACCTTGCTGGGACATCCCATAGTGGACTGAGTGAGGGGGAGCTGAACAAAAGAACCTTGCTGGGATGTCCCATAGTGGACTGAGCGAGAAAGAGCTGGTAACACTGAGCCAGAGATTGTGGCTCTCCAGGAGAGGAGCAGGATTGCTGTGTCCTGCGAGGAAACCATCCCCCATCATACCATCATACCAGGTATATATCCTGACCTTCCTGAAGAGTCAGGATACCCTGACTTTCCCGAAGAGTCAGGATATCCTTCCTTGCTGAAGCAGTTCCAGGCCTGACTCTCCCAAGAAGTCAGAAAACCTTCTTTTCTAAGGTTGGGCTGTTTCTTTGCAGTCCCAGCCATCAGAGCTGTGCTAACAGCTTCAGATGTCTGGGACACCTTCAGGGCAGAGCTCTTGTTCTAAGTAGCTCGAGGTGTCCAGGATACCTTGCCCTCTAGGCTGAACTGTCTCCTTGCAGTTTCAGCCATCAATTTACTAACATTTTGATGCCAAAACCAGGGACACCAAACCCAGAGCTTTTGCAGTTTACTTACATTTGGTGCCAAAACCCGGAACACCAAACCCAGAGTTTTTGCAGTTTACTTACACACATAGTCTAAATGAAGTTATGCCACTTGGAGGTAACAATGTCTCCCTGAAAGCCATAGACTATCAGTGCCAGGCATGGGAAGCCTCCCTTCACATTGTTGGCCAGTAGAGTCCAAGAGACCCCAGAAAAAAATACAGGCTATTGCCCTTGTCTTTGGCTGGCTCCCAGAGATTGAAGGTACGATTCTATCATTGAAAACACTGCACACTTTGGACCGAGGACCTGGAAGCCTCCTCCCTGAGGGCTAGCACTCACAGTACTGGAAGGAGCTCTGTGAGCTGCCAAGAAAGGAAGGCCATCATTAGTCCTACTAGATATGATGCCTCCAAACCTCAGCAGAGACCGGAACAGCAAGATATCCCAAAAGGTACAATACTGGGACTTCAGTCCTGGCGGTAACCAACACCCATCTGACTGGACCTATGGCTAATCGTGCCTGCTACTCTAAACCTAGTCCACCAGCCATGTGGCTTACAGGTTGGGACCTCAGTCTCTCACTGAGGGAAGTCAGGCCAGAAACTCAAGGTAGGAGCCTGGAGGCAGGAGCTGACCCAGAGGCCACAGAGGAAGCTGCCTCCTGGCTTGCTCCTCACAAATCACTTGGTTTGCTTTCTTCTACAACCCAGGACCACCTACCTATGAGTGGCATCACCACACAGCTGGCTGCACTCTCCTACATGAATTCCATTAATCAAGAAAAAAACGTCCCCACAGACTGGCCCACAAGATAATCTGATGGAGGCAATTTCCCAACTGAGATTCCTACTTCCCAGATGTTGCCTAGGTTTGTGTCAAGTTGGCAAAATCTAAACAGCACAAAGGGCTTGCTGCCAACCTTGATGGCTAGAGTTGAATCCTTGACACCACATGGTAGGTGAGAAGTGACTCTCGCAAACTGTTCTCTGATCTCTAACCATAGGGCATGCTTCCCCATACACATCCCACACTAAATAAGACATCTCAAAGAAAGATATAAAAATGATAATAAGGATGTGAAAAGGTGCTCAACATGATTAGTCATCAGGGAGTTTCTACAGTTAAAAATAGAACCACCTCATGATTCATCAGTCTCTCTTACAGCTATAGGCGCTCCCCTGAAGGAAATCACTACTTCACAAAGATATCTGCATTCTGTGTTCATTAAAGCAGTGTACCCAACAGCCAAGACATGGAAACAACTGGCATGTCCATGAACAGATAAGTGGGGAAAGCTGTGGGGTAGGGCTGGGTGTGGTGGAATTTCAGTCTTCTTAGCACTCGGAACCTGAGGTGAGAGGACCTCGAGTCAGAAGCAAACTAGGCTACTTATTGAGAACCCCACCTTCCCAAAAAAGGAAGTTGTGGTATAAGTGTGTTGTATGTGTGTGTGTGTGTGTGTGTGTGTGTGTGTGTGTGTGTGTGAGAGAGAGAGAGAGAGAGATTTATCTTTTCCCACCCAAAATCTGTTGTCACAGGTTTTATAAGCTGTATGCATTCAGTAAGACTTGGTTGAGCTAAATTTGAAGGACATTCTAGAAATCAGAATGTTAACAATATTAACAATAATGTCAGCCAATATTTATTCAGTGCCTACTATATGCCAAACTCTTTTACATGCCTTAGCTCACTAATCATCACAAAACCTTATGGCTATGGAAGCAAGCCAAGTGGCCAGAGGCAGATAAATGGATAAACAAAATATGGTGTCCATGTATGATGGAATACTGTTCAACCTTAAAAAGGAAAGAAATGCTGGCATATGCTGAAAACATGGATGGACCTTCAAGATCTTCTCACAAAAGCTATGGGCTGCTACTTACACGAAGTACTCCTGGGAGACAAAGCCATACAGATAGGAGGAGAGCAGGAGTTTCCAGGGGCTGTAGGGATGGAGGAATGGAGAGCTACTGTTAATGAACACGCTCTCAGTTTTGTAAGATAAAAGTTGCAATAATGGATGATGTTAATGGCTGTACCACGTTACAGGTTATCACTCAGCTTCACAGATAAAGTTGGTTAATATGGTTGATTAATTTGTGTGGTTTTTTTTTAAACCACAAATTTAAAAAGCAGGGAAAACTTTATAAGCTAGACTATTTCTACATTTTCTTTTTTATATTTTTTTTATTTTTTGAAATTATACTATAATCATCTGATTTCCCCTTCCATTTCCTCCCTCCAACCTCTTTCCTGCAACCTTTGCTCTCAAATTCATGACCTCTTTTTCTTTCATTGCTGTTTCATGTTATGTATATCATAATACATATACTTAAATACACGACTACAACCTTCTTAGTCCACATAATGTTACCTGGATGTGCAGGATCTAAGGGCTGACCACTTGATCCTGACTAGATAACCATGTGAGGGGACTCTCCCCTGAAGACCACTTCAGCTCCCAACATACCCCATTATTTGTGGTTCTTTGTTTTGGGTTGAAGCCCTGCAAACATTCCACCTTCCACATCACCATGTCCTTTGTTCATGTCTTGTTTAGGCAGCCATGTTGCTGAGACTTCCTGGGTGTAGCCTCTTAGACATGTCTAGGAAACACAATCTCACATCAAATTTCTTAGTCCTCTGACTTCTTTCATCCTTCTGCCTCCTTTTAAACAATGACCCCTGAGCCTTAGGTGTGGGAATTGTGTTGTAGATATATCAGTTGGGGCTGAGCACCGGGTGATCTCTTGTTCTCTGCATTTTAATGGGTTGTGGTTTTCTTTTATGGAGCCCAACAGCAGACATGAGAGACTTCCTTTTGAGTTGTTGCTGCTCAGGGTTGTCCAAGAGACTCCTAGAACATTGTTGGCTATGGCTGTTGTCCTTGGTTGCCTCCCAGAAGTGGAAGGTAAGTCCCTATTGCCAAAGACACCATGCACTTTGGACAGGGCCCAGAGTCCTGTGCTGGATCTGACCTGAAAGGCTCTCCTTGAGGGCTAGCTTTCATGGTATCAGAAGGCAGCATGCAAGCTTCCAAGGGAAGGAAGCAACCAACAGTCCTAACCCAGCTATGGTGCCTATGAACCACAGCAATGACCAGCATGGCACAATAATCCCAAAGGTTCAGTAGTGGCATGAATACCTTGTTGGTAGCTAACAGTCTTCTAATTGGACTTCAGGCCTGATCAGAAAGAGGGAAGCCATGCCTGGTACTGGAAACCTAGCCCACTACACAGGGCTAGTGAGTCGTCATATTAGAGGAAAACCTACAGCCACCACTTTACTAAACCAGCATAAATCCTAACAACATTCCCAGTATGTATCCTCTCACCCACAGATACGTGCAGTTTTCACCTTTACGGCATCAAGGGAGCTTCTCTTTACCTTTTGTTCATTGAAAAGGTAATGGAAGTCTTAACCTCCGTTAAGAGGCTAAGGTGCTCCTCAGGTAATGACGTGGGCGCCTGTGGAAGCATGCACATCAGTAGATCTTGCTCCTTCAAGCCCTGCTCATGCCCACCTCCCTTCAGAGGCCTGACGCAACCCTGCCACATGGCGCTGGGGTCAGGGAGGGCTGGAACCCTTGTTAAGGCATTTTCTGTACTGTGCCACTGAGATTTCCCACTTCCTTCCAACCCTAGGAACTGGTGGCTTTCGTTTAGCTGAACAGAATTGCTATCAGAATGAATTGTTTGTCTGGGGGTGGGGTAGGGGGGGGTAGAAAACTAGCCTAGGAGCCTTCACTAAGGAGAATTAATAGGAAGCACACACACTGAGAAAATTCCAGCCGTCAGGTTAAGCCTCGTGACAACAACCGTTAAAGAACTAGTATCTGCTCACTTGACAAAAATTTATTAGATGCCTTTGTATGCATTTGTTAGTCTAGATGCTCAGTGTGCAGTAGTGAATTACACCACCAAAGATCCCTGCCTTATGTCAGGTGAGGGAGAGAGAAAAGAACCGGGAAACACAATAACCGGGGAAACGATGTGTAGCATCCTGGGAGGCAGGGACGACTTGACAGCTACAGTTGGAAACTGGGTCAGCAGGAGAGACCTCATGGAGAAGGTGTCACCGAAGCGAAGACCTCCAAGGGGCAAAGGAGGCAGCCATACCTGGAGGAAGAGCACGTCAGGCCCAGGAATCTTCCAGCGCAAACGTCTGGGCCACGAGCCTGCAGGGAGTTGTGGCAAAGAGGTGACTGACTAGGGCCGTGTTAGGAGGAGGGACTGCGGGCCTTTCAAACCCGAGACCTAGGCTGCTCCCTGAGTGAAATAGTCAGCTACAGCAGGATTTTAAGCAGAGAAGCAATATGAACTGATTTACACTGAGTATATTTAAATGCACTGTATTCAATATTATTTTGACTTGAAAATACACTTTATGACTGAGACCATTGCCCACAAGAAAATGAAGCTTACCTCTAGGCAAATGTCAGTGCTGCATTCAGAGAACCCACCAGGCTTGCAGCAGAAGCAGGAGGAGAGGGAGTGGAGGGGGGGGTGCTGAGTAAAAATAGTTGTGTCCTTTAGTTCAAAGAGCCTCCGGGAGGAATAGCTAATAACAATAGCTGTAAAGGTCACTGCAAATATTAAGTGCTATCAAATTCTAACTACTACTTAAAAATGAAAAGCCTGTCATTATTCATTGGCCCAAGAGCCAGGACCTCTGGCAGCCTGCATGCCTCGGCCAGCCTTTCACGGCCTGGGTGGCTTTAAAGGATAGTTCCAATGCTACATCTTCTGTCCCCAGCTCCGGTGGAAGGGACCGCTTCCCAGATGTCCTCTGTCGCCGCAAACCACAACCTGGAGGGCAGGGTTGATGAGAATTTGTTTTCTGTTTTGTTTTGTAAAAATCATTAATTCTTAAACGGTGTTTACAAGATTCCCTTTAAACCCTCACATCTACAGGGACAGCGAGGGTATACACGTAGAAAGCACTTGCTACAAGCTGTTGACACCAAGCCACACGGTCATGGAAAGTTTGCTGGAGATTTGTTTGTGTGGGAATTACTCAGGAACACTGGCTGCTGGTGCCAGCTTTGAAGCACGGTGAATAGCTATTGTTCTCACAGGGGATCCGGCCACTGGTGTCTACATACACTGAAGACGGCCTTCCTCCTTACAAACAACTTCCAGCCATTATACATATATTTTTAAAATTGTTGTTGGTGTGCCCAATGTTCTAGATGCCTGGAGAGAAGGAGAACTGCATAAGGACATTTCCGTGACATTTGGTCCTGAATGTTACTGACATCAAATAAGGGAAGAGGTGACCTACTGAACACCTCTTAAGTATTTGTGTGGTGCAAACAGACAGCGGTATTACTTTGCAAACGAGGAGCTGCCCTTCAGAGATTAAACCACTTCCTGCGGTTGTTTAATTCATATCCGAGCTGGATTTGAACCTGCGTCTAGTGACTACACTCATGCTCCCACCAGGCCGAGCTGGGCTGAGAACACTGCCCTCTGGTGGCTGAACGAAGCCTTACACAGATGGCACTGCCCGGCTAGAGACAGCCCTGTGCGGGATCCCATCCTGTTCCTGGAGTCCTGTAAACTGCGGGGCATGGGCTTGGCACAGGGGAGATCAGGAGCCCTGATGAACAGGCCCTAAGAAGTCAGGTTTAGTGGCTCATGCCTATAACCCCAGCACTCAGAGGAGGCTGGGGCAGGAGGATGGCTGTGGACTTCAAGTCAACCTGGGCCGCAGGGTGTGGCTCTGTCTCAAAATAAAATCAATGAATTCACGTAAAAAAAAAAGGCTCCTAAGACACTGGAGAAAAAGAAAGTCAGAGGCCACAACTGTAGCTCCCATGCTGAGAAGGAAAGTAAGTCCAAAAGGTGATTTATTGCCGGCTCATGTTTTAGGAGACTCAGTTTCTGGGACACCCAGCCCATTTCCTCCCGGCAGAGCCACACACCCTGGGAGCAGGCATTTGCTGGATGCTTAGCTCTAATCTCTCATTCTGCTTTGTGGTTCTGCACTGGGAGTCTGGCCTGCCAACTCCCCAGCAGGCTCTGTGCCATGGAGTGCTGAGCAGAGAAGAAAGGTTGGGGAGGGAGAAAAGGCCCGCTTTCTTCCTGTTGGCTCTCTGGTCGTGCTGTCTGCCTGGGCCTCCATAGGCCCTCTTTTCCACCCTGGCCACGATGGCTTCTACTTCAGGAACGGTTATTTATTCTAAACCTGCAGAGTGACCACCGCTAAAGAGTGCAGGTATTAATAATTCTGACCTCTTCCCATGTCTCCCCAACCCTCAGGGCTGGTGATATTTCCTCTGGCAACTAGAACCATGATATTTACTACAGTTTGCCCTTCAGTTCCTCAGTGTTTGCTTAACAATTCATGTTAAATTCTCTGCATTAAAATAACGGATGTGGCTTCTGTCTCCCAGCTGATATACAATTAATTCTGTTACGGGTTTAAATTAGAGCATGTTAGAAAGCTTTTTAGTGTAAGCTAAGGTCCAATGCCATGTTTGGACTGGGAATACCTCGCTTGCCCTTATACACACATCAGGCTGATAGCTTTGAAAAGGTCAAACTGGTTTAAACCATACAGTGGTGGGTTCCCCTTTGGATGATGAAGGTCAAGCCCCCAGCACTAGGTCCCCGTTATGGTCTCCTTACCTCCTACACCCATCCTCCCAACCAGGCCTTTTTGGACTCACCACTCAGTTTCCCATGCCCTACGCTTCTGCTCAGCCTTCTGCTTAATATTTAGCCTTCAAAGTCCATCTCAGATGTCGCCCCTTCTAAGAAACCTTTTCTGTCTCCACTCTCCCTCTAACAGTGAAACATCCCCATCTCTATCCTCTGTGTACCCAGGGGTAAGTACCTTCCCTACCAGACTACGAGCTCCTTGAGGCCAAGCTAGGCATCCCAGTTCATCGCTGTTTTAGCTCGGCACTCTAGTAGTCCTTCACAATCAATGGCTTATAATGACTTGTAATTTTCCCATTGTCTGTTTTCTGCTTAGACAATTGAGACAAAGAGCTCGGAGCAGAGGGTGGGGGACCCTCAGTGTTTAGGAAACTTGGAAACTCACTTTCTCTCCACCTCTGTTTGGAAGAAACACTTCTCCAAACACAAGGCTGTTTGTATGTTCTTTGCATTCAATTACATCCCTAGGAAGCGAAGACATTATAATTGCCTGAGTGCGGTGCCAAGGAGGGCTGAGATCACCCTGAACACAAATCTGCAGATAACAGAGAAGTAAACAGGGCCTCTTAGGACTTTGGAAAAAGAAAAGGGGTCCCTCTAGCCAGGGCAGACACTATGGTACTGAACCATCTGCTCTTTAAAAATCAATTCTTTTTTTTTTATTTTTAAGAGATGGGAGTCCTGCTATGTTTCCCAGACTGGCTTCAAACCCTTGGATTTAAGGCCTCACACTGCCACAGTTCTCAAGTAGTTGGGCCTTCAAGTGCATGCTACTGGGCCCATCTGTGCCCATCAAAGTCAAACAAGAGCCCTGATCTTGCAGGAAGGTAAATGATCTATGGATCAGAATCCACAACTCAACTCTTTCTTGTCACCGGCTATAGGGATATAGACTCTTAACGTTCCCAACTGACTGTACCACCAGGGTGATGGGAGGGTTCTCTGTCCCATATCTCCAGAGTCATGTCCCCACTGCTGCCTAGCCACACTGGCGACTCACCATTTGATGCCTTGTCAAAGAGCAAAGTTGCCCAAGGAGTTCCTGCGGCTACGGTAACTTGGGGGAACCTGGAGGCCAACAGCAGGCAGGGTAGTCCAACACCAGTCAAGGCCGCTGTGTGGTCAGCACTGCGGAAGTGTGGCCAGAAAGAACAAAGGCGAGGAGGAGGAGAGGAGGAGGAGGGGAAGAGAAGGGGAAGAGAGGGGGAGGGGAGGAGGGCACGAGGAGGCAGCAGTGGCTCAGCAGCTCCATGCCTTCGGGGCCTGTAAGCCACTTCTTGTTCTACGAGCCAGATTGTAGCAGACAATCTGCACCGAGGGGAGATGAGTCAGTTTTGTCAGAAGTAACGGTGGCCTCTCTCAGACAGTGGTGTGTTTTACACACACAGATGTAGCTTGACACTGGAGACTTCACAAGGACTCTCCTGGATCTTACCGCAAATAAATGATCACCTGACTCAATCCCAGGAGGGCTGACATCTATTGGTTTCTGGAACTTGGTGAAAACCTGGTCAGTTGTGAAAATCAACTGGACAGATCTGCCTTTGGTTTGTTATTAAACGTAGCCACAAAGAAGGAAGTGAGTTAACAAAACAAAAGGATACATTTCTTAATCCAAAAATGATAGCAGCAGGTTAAATCTTTAACATGTCTTCCTTATGAAGTGGAGAGCATTTCATATGAACTATTTTGAAAAACTTCACACGACATTTAGATGGTGGGCTGGAGTCCTCCCTCATCTTTCCAGGGCCATTTCCCACTCTCTTTACCCAGCACTGCCCCAGGAGATAAAACCTACACACAGTCAGTGGGCACTGGGGTTCCCAGCTACCCACTGGGTTTTGTTCATGTGGATATGATGGAGAAAGCCCTCCGGGGTGCTGTCTACAGCTTCTGCATGGTCATGTCCAAAGTCATCCCATAACTAACCAGAATCTCAGCTTTCCGACTTGTTTCACAATGATTGTCCTTGACTTAAGTCCACCTCTCTCCATCGAGAGGGCCCAGGGTGCGGGCAGTTTTGCTGTTCCTAGTGCCAGGTTGCTGCATGGTATATTCATGTGATTTTCCTACACCAACCCATGCATAGCTCTGGAAATGCTCTCCCCATAAATAGATCTTATTTTCAGTAAGGCCATCCCTATCCAGTCAGTCCGTAACCAGGTGATGCTATATTGCTCCAAATTGAGGGGTAGAAATGTTCTACTCTTTTTTTGGAAGTCAACTTTCCAGAAAATTTGGTAACACGCAGAGTGCTAGCAAAAATCATGAATGCTCCAGCCGCATACCGGAGCCTCTCATGTATTAGATGTTATCCCTTAAGTTGCTGCATTACAGAAGGTCTAGAGAGTCTAGCACAGCAGGTAGGCCAGGCAGAACTAGTAGCATTGGGAGGTGGGTATCAGGATCCTAACTAGTTACCTACCATAGGGAAGGGTTGGAATTTTCACATTTGATGCACCTCAGCTGATATTAGTCTAAGCAATGTATCTATTTGCACCTTCGGGTTACCAGAAAGTTCATTTCTATGGTTACCTAACGTACTCAGAAAGCAGAAATGCAGGCAAAACATTAGCAGAGAACAGATGCTGCCTTGTACACATGATGGATGAGCAACAACCTTTGCATTTCTTCGTCTCCCCCAAATGAACCAAAAGAGAACCAGTGTTAAGCCTCTGACAGAATGGGGAGGTTATGGACAAGCCCAGCAAATGAACCAAGTTTCAAAGGCTGCCCAATGCTACCAGGCGGTTTTTGGAACTGTGACATTTGCATCCAAGATTGTGTCTGTGCTAAGCATTTCTGCATCTCTTATGACAGTCCTTTCTAATCCTGGACTTTGCATTTGGAATTTATTTGTTTGAGCATACAAAATAAAGCACTGTTTTATCCTTAGCCACACACAAGAAGTTTCTTGATTCTTTTGGAGCTGATCTTGGATAACATAATTGGCTATTTCTTTTCTGAAACGTAATTATATCACATATTCTCATATTTCCTTCTGCTGCTTCTATGGTGACACCATTTACATATCTCGAGTGACGAGTCATGAAAAGGGGCCATATGTTTATTACATATACTATCTGGATTTCTAATCCTATTAACTTAAGACATGGGCAATTGAATAAATTCTTATTCACTAAGTCAGAAATTTTAAATAACTATTTTGTTAATGAAGCATCAAATGTAAGCAATGGAATACCTAATGATTTTTCCAGACTTTGAAAAGGGATCTTTAGGGATAGGATAATGGATGAGCGCAAACGAAAGCCCATCCCACAGCTGCCAGGTCAAAGGCATCAGGGCAACAGCCAGGATTAGGAAGCAAAGACAGAATGGAGCATCTGTATAAAAACCAGCTAAGCGACAGTAGACACAGTAAGCTACAGAAAAACTATTCTAATCATCACAGATCTACAATGTGCATGGAAGCCATGCATTTAACATGAATGTCAATGTCAGCCAATATCTACAGTGTGATTCATACTTTCCTCTTCTGTCCAATCTTTTACCACCAAGGCTGATTAAAAAGGATATTCTGTCTTGATATAAAGGTAAGTTCTTCTAAGTTGATTTGATGAGTTTGTTTCCTTAATCCAACACACTAAGTAATGGAATCAAACACTTTTCACTATTAACAAAAAATATGATGCCATTAGCCTTTAATTAAACCACCATCTCTGGAAATAGGAAGGTAAAAAAAAATTCAATGAATTAATTGGGCCAACCATTCTTCCCTGAAGACACTAGCCAGGCATTCAATAAGTACTTGAAATAACATTAATAAAACTAAATTATCAAGGTCCATCTAATACTTACTAATCTTAGAAAATATTTCCAGAAAAATTGATATTTGTTCCACTTAAGTGAGCAAACAAATTGTTTCTAAATTTGCTGTGTCAAAATTCTCTTAGAACTGTGGCTATCCTAAGATTACCTTAGTTTCCCCCTCCTGTATGTTCCAAAATGCCCGTGGAAGGTCCCAAGACAGGGAAATTAGAGAGCTAGTTGTGCTGGGAATGAAATTCATGTTCACTCAATTTCCAAGAGGGAAGACTCAAACTACAGTCAAAGTTGATGTGAAATGGGCAAGCAAAGAAACCCTCTGTCCACCTACAGAGACAGCTAACAGGGCCCAACAATTCACCACTGCCTTCCAGTGAGCTCCCACAATTCACCACTGCCTTCCAGTGAGCTCCCACAATTCACCACTGCCTTCCAGTGAGTTCCCATTTACTACTAAGGAGCAAAAGTTGTACATTCTCCTCTAAATGTGCTGCCCCAGCAAATCTTTGCCCAGAAGATGCCAACCTGGCTTCAGGAGCTGTATTGGCTCAAGGACCAGACACAGCAGTTCTAGGGCTGCCTTTTTAAAATGGCCTCAGGGGACTTTTAGTCAGAGGCAGACAACAAGCAATTCAATATAAAGGCATCAGACCAATTTGTTTTCCAAGTTAAAAAAGAAATCCTGCTGATATTACAGTCTCCAAAAATCCTGAGACTGGGCCATCTGGAGTCTCAGTGTGGCCTGCTTCTAATTACAGCAGGAGATGAGGGGGCAGCAAGGTCAAAGGGGCCTTCAGGGTCTGTGAGAGCTGTGTCCTTCCTGGTCTTGACCCTCCCTTCAGGGAGTCTCTCACTGCTTGGTGCAAACTGACATTTGCTGGCATGTATTAGGTCTCACAGTCTTGTAATAGCCTCTGGAAGCCACTTCAGCTGTTATGGGGAAACTTTAAAAAAAAAAAAAAAAGAAGGCTTTATGTGGAATTGATGTCCATTGTTTTCCTTAAGCCTTATCTCTTCAATCCAAATGAACGCATGCATATTGACTGTCTCCATCTGATTATACACAAGTGATTCAAGCCAGACCAAGAGGTAGACACATGCACACAATTAAACTTCATGCACAAGGTGAGTGCTATGCCAGCAAACTCCTTTGAAACTCACTTTCGGGTTGGCACTGTAGCTTAGCAGGAGAGTGGTTGCCTATCACACATTATTAGGCCAGGGGTTCAACTCCCAGTACCATGAAAAAAGGTTCCAGGGGCTAGGGAGATGGCTTAGTGGGTAAAGGATCAGGACCACGTTTGCATTGCTAGCACGCAGGTAAAATCTGGGCCTGGAGATGGGTACCTATAGGCTCAGCACTGTGGCGAGGGAGAAGACAGGTGGATTCTGGGACTTGCTGAAACAGCAGACTCCAGGTTTAGTGAGAGACCCTCCCTCAAAAAAATAGTGTAGAGAATGATAAACGAGGACATCAGACAACTGGCCTTCACATGTGCATGTGTAGGTGTGTACATCTATACAAACATGTGTACACACATACACACACACACACACACATCATCCAAACTTCTATTTAAAAGTATTTTTTCTCTTTTCCATGGAAATATAAACGTTTGTCATAAAAATTAAAGGAAACATAACAGATGACTCCTGCTGAGCAGAGCTGTGCTGGTTGAAGTGACAGGGAGTTCAGCACCTCCCTTCTGGTCTTCCTCTACTCCCTCTAGAGGTCCTAGAAACATTTCCATGGAGCCCCAAGGCCCTTCACAACACTGTAAAAGCCTACGCTGTAGATCTTCAGTAGGAAAAGATCTGCCATCTGATGTGGAGGACCGGGGACCAGGGTTAAATGGCAGGTAGCGGTACCCATCCCCGGGCTGAAGGCATTTACATCAGAGCTCCAAGATGCACAGGGTTAGGAAGCTGGACAAACAGGCAGACGGCGCTATGAACAGAAGCTGTGGAGGACAGGAAGAAGAAGAAGAACGTGAATGTTAAGCCAAGGAATCTGTACTTTTTCTAAAGGAAGTGTTGGTTACTGGAAGCTTGGAGAGTGGTAATGAGGTTTGTGATGTGAAAGGTGTGCACAGTGGTGATACTGAGTTTATGCTGCAGAATGGAACAAAAATCACAGGACTTGGTTATCACAATGGGAGAGATGTTGAGAGCTTTTCGGGAAGCTTTTGGTGGGGGAGGGGACTTTAAGAGCCACTAGTTTTGTTAGTGAACCAGTGAGAGACGGAGCCCATTGTCCAGGCTTTTGACTTTTCAGTAGCGGTCTTGCGGGTGTTTTGCCCACAGCTTCTGGGTACCACGCTGAGGCAGTGTGAACCTCCACCTTCAGTATCTTCCACATTTTCTAGAGTTCCACTTGTGGCTGAGGTATATGCCCTTGGTGGGCAAATTCTGCAGTGTGGATTTAGGAATTACTTTTGGAAATTGCTTATAGCCTGCCTAGTATTCCACCCTTCCAAAAACTTTATGAGCACCTAATCCTCCCCACTGACTGGCTTTTCTTAAAGCTAGTCAGCAGCTGCAGCCGAGGCTGTTAGCTGCGGCTAATCCCTAACTGAGGCAAAGGGACAGCTAGTGCTGGACGTGGTCAGGGAAGGCCTCCGGGGACAGGTAACACTTGGTGGCTCTTGAAGGATGTATACAATCCAGACAAGTGGAGAAGCAGGAGATGGAGTCCAGTCAAATCCAGGAAGGTAAAGAAGAGAGTGAGGTGTGCAGAGAACTGTATGGGGTTTACAAAACTGACCAGTAGAAGGGCAGGCAGGTGTGCATTCCTCAGAGCCTGCGTGAGCCAAGCATGCCGAGCTTTATTCATGGGATTTACTGGAACTTGTACGCCAGGAAGTTATATAAGCATATTTGCATGCTTAAAGGACATGCTTGCAGAGCTGTGAAGTAGAGGTTAGCAGAGGTGGAGCTGCAGCAGATCTGAAGGAGACTGAGCCGATCCTGAAACACTGAATAAAGGGGACTGGAGAGCACTTGCTGCTCTTGCAGAGGATCCAGGTTCAGTTCCCAGCACCCACAGAGGACCTGGGTTCAATTCCCAGCACCCACATGGTGGATCACAGCCATCCCCCAGTTCCAGAGGATCCAACAGGCACGAACGTAATTACCCATAAATGTATGCAGGCAAAATATTCACACACAAAAAGTAAAACAGGCAAGTCTTAATTCTCAAATGAAATACTGAGGAAAGTGAGACCAGCTAAGGGGCAGTAGGAGTGGAAGTGGTGGAGTAGGCTTTGAAGTGGCAAAGAAGCAGGTGCCAGGGTGGCACCACCTATAAACACGTCTCTTAGTGTGGCTGTGTGGCTCTGCAGTTAAGCTGTCGGCTTCGGGACAGGACACTCAGCCTGGCTGTCATTTACTCTAGGAAGAGCACTCACATTGCAAAGAATCATCGAATGCTTGAGAATGCTTATTTGTTTGTTTGTTTTTTCCTTCCAGGGCCACAAGCAGACTCTTTCTAGTTTCCCTTGCAGGTAGAAGTGACCACATGGCTCATTTCCAGACACTGGAAGGTGGATGCAAATTACATCACTTCCAGGGCCGAGCCATAAACACCACACTGGCCTCTGCTGTCTCAATTATCCTGACCACTGACTCGGTAGGAATACCTAGAGCAACATTAGAGACCAGCAGATGCCCCGTCAGTATACAGAGTGGAAACTATACCCGCCCTCAGTCCCAATGTTGCTGCCAATGGGATTTTAAACGATTAAAAAATTAACAGTTTGTTGCAGTATTGGCTTTATCTTAACAAGTGTCCTTAACTTCTCTAAACTCCAGCTGCCTCTCCAGACTATTCTAGTGTCTACCTTTATGGTGCTGTTAGAAAACAACTAAAAGAGAATCTGCGAATGAGTTAGTGTAATAGAGTGAGCCCAAGGTGTGTCCATGCATGGTATCTGAAAGTGGCAAGTGTATGATAAATGTTCACTATCTATTATTCTATGCAACCTGCTAATTACTGTTACCCAGTATGTGTACTATAAGGCACACTAAATACTCCTTCCTTGTAGCCTAAAATGCCATCAGCCCTTTTTGTGAAGCAGTGCCATCTCCTTCCAAGAGTTATTTGTTACATTCAGTTATTAAACTGGCACATTTGTATGCTAACTGGGAAAACATGTAAACTATAAAATGTGCCAGTGAGATGACTCAGAGGATAAAGGCGGTTGATGCTAAAGCTGACGACCTGAATTTGATCCTCAGCACCCATACATCAGAAGGAAGAGCTGACTCCCCCTATAAGTTATTCTCTGACTTCCATATGTGTACCCTGACAAACACACACACATACATTAAATAATAAAAATTTTAATTAAAAAACTAAAATGCAAACTTAGAAACAACCAGATGCATCCTCACCCAAAGGTGTGCTGCTCAGTTTTATGTCAACTTGGCACAGATAGAGTCACTGGGGAAGAGGAGACCTCAGCTGAGAAATGCCCCACCAGACTGGCAGTGGGCAAGCCTGTGAGGCATCTTCTTGACTGATGATTGATGTGGGAGGACCCTGCCCATTGTGAGTGGTTGTTCCCTGGGCTGGTGGTCCTGGACGTATAAGAAGGCAGGCTCAGCAAGTCAAGAAACAAGTCAGCATTCCTCTGTGGCCTCTGCTTCAGTTCCTGCCGTCAGGTTCCTGCTTGAGTTCCTGCTCCGGCTTCCTTGGATGAGGACTGTGCTATGAAGTATAAGGGAAATAATCCTCTTTCTCCCCAAGTTGCTTTTTTTTTTTTTTTTTTTTTTTTTTTTTTGGATTTTTGAGACAGGATTTTTCTGTATAGCTTTGGAGCCTTTCTTGGAACTCACTCCGTAGACCAGGCTGGCCTCGAACTCACAGAGATCCACCTGGCTCTGCCTCCCAAGTGCTGGGATTAAAGGCGTGCACCACCACCGCCCAGTGTAGCATGAATCTTAAAAGTTCTTATTAATAAAATCAAACCTGAGCCAGGTAATGGGGTGAACACTGGAAGGTCAGAGAGACAGAACAAGCCACAGCTATCTCACCTTGCCAATTCCTCAGCTGGTCCTGTTTCCTCAGACTGGAAGCCTCTGAGTCCTCATCCAGAATGAATCTCAGCTGCATTGGAGAAACAGTAATGTATTTCTCCAAAGCCTGAAAACTTAACCAGCCAAATGCTTAACCAGGCCAAATGCTGCTAGCCAAATGCTTCTAGTTCCTGGTCTTCACGCCTGATATACCTTTCTGCTTTCTACCACCATTCCCTGGGATTAAAGGCGTGTGTCACCATGCCTGGCTCTTTCTAATGTGGCCTTGAACTCACAGAGATCCAGAGGGATTTCTGTCTCTGGAATGCTAGGATTAAAGGCGTGAGTGCCACCATTTTCTAGCCTCTGTATCTAGTGGCTGTTCTCTGACCCCAGATAAGTTTATAAGGGTACACAATATTTTGGGGAACACAATACCACCACAGCCCGGCTTCCAAGTTGCTTTTTAATGTGATGTCCTATCTCAGCACTAGACAGTTAGTTAGTCTAAGAGGTAAGCATTGCTAATATTTTGGTACATGTGCCTCCAATTTCTCAGCTGTATAAATGATGCAGGGATACACATTTATAATCAAAACAGGTACAATAATAAACATAGAGCTGTTTTTTCTTCCTAAATTTTTACCTTAACAGGTTATTATTCGTTCAAATATGTATTTGAATTGAGAAAAAGATGCTTGATGTGTGCTTGTGTATGAAAACTTATTTAGCATGTGTGTGTGTGTGTGTGTGTGTATGTGTGTATGTGTGTGTGTGTGTGTGTGTGTGTGTGTGTGTGTGTGTGTGTGTATCAGTTATCTAAGAATTCCTCTATTACAGGATATTTTTGTTGCTTCTGCTAGAAAACATAATTCTGGAACAAAGCCCCAAGGACGTAAATATTTGACTTTAATGATCTGCTCTTTCTGCTTCCATTCTCCTTTATCTAAACTTCTCCAAAATAGAATTTTTAAAAAATAATTTTTTACCTTCCCAGATGACACAATAACCAATACTTACTTTATCTTGATTGATGTTTTACAGGATTCTTTATAGCATTTTTCTTGTCTTTTAAAAACAAAAAATGCCCCCTTTGTCTATAGACTTTACCTCTCAGGCTTTCCCATTAATCCATTCCTCAAGCTGTTTTATTTGCAGAATGAAGAACAGAGGATGCATCCGAGTCCTAGAAGCCGCAAGTACTATGGTTCTGAGGTGAGAAGGCGGTGGTAGAAATGGATGTGAAGTCAGAAATAAAATCTCTACTTCAAACTTCCTGTCACGGGAAGTCTCTCCTGGATGTCCCAAGCACCCAGGAGAAGAACCACCACACCTCATGCTTTCAGATGTAGAACAGTGTGAAGGAGAAACTTTGTCTTTCCTGAAGCTTGAATCAGCAAGCTTAAACATTTGTCTCAATGGAACTGAGTGGTCTGGGTCTGTGCCTGCATACAATCTAACAATACTTTCTGTCTTGGGCAGCTAATCAGTGCTCTTCATTCAAAATATGGAAATGTGAGGGCCTCTACCACATGTATCTTATTAATACACAGGCAGGAAATGCATAGGAATGCAGTTCCCAGACTTCTTTGAAGGTTTTGCTGAATTACAACTTAGTATTCACTCCCGGACTAGAGTGGACCACTTAGCCTGGGATGCACGCAGACCAGTGCTGTGGAGTCCGTGTCTGAGGCCCACACTCCCTCAGCTCATGTGCACTGACCTCTGAGTTCTCACTTGTCCTGGGAAAACCGTCTCATCGCAGAGAGTTCATGGGATGAGCATGTGGCTCTACCTTCCCCTCAGGCTTCCAGTGATGGGAAAAAACAGACACATGAACCTAACAGTCCTTACATAGAGGATAGGCACCTTTTGTACCACCTTTCCGAATAGAATGGGTGACACTATGGTGTGCAGTCAAGGCCCAGCAGGCAACAGACGGTACTCATCAAGATAATTTATAGAGGGCACAATGAAGGGGCTGTTTACACAGGCGTGGGCAGGGTTCAGGGAAAGCAAGCCACAGTGTGATACCCCAAAGACAGCAACAGTGGCACTGTGACCAACCATAGGCTTGAAGGAGATGTAGGAGATCCAGACAGGGAAGAAGCCTGTGGAGATGGCTGACTGAACCGTCTCTGAGAAAGGGACACACCCAGCCCTGGGCCACCCTGAAGAATGAACACCGTGACTCTGCCCCCATCTGCTGGGATCTGCATTTGTCAAGGCAGAAACTAGAGAGTAGAAGAGCTTGTGCCGCCCACTCCCCCAGGCAGAGAGGGGACGGAGAGAAGCAGAGGGGGGCAGCGGAGGCACACACCAAAGCCTCCAGGTGGGGGAAGGAGAGAGTTCAGTTTGGATGTGTCAGATCGAGAGGATTGGGACACAGTGAGGAGGCAGCTGGATCTCCTTGAGCTGGAGAAATGACCCAGGGGCTCAGCAGGCTCGTCAAAGCCATACATCTGTAGACCATCAGGAAGGGGAGAAGGGAGAGGTGGAGGCCATGGACAGTTGAGGGGCCAGAGAGAAGGGCAGCAAGAGTAAGGGTCGGAAACGGGGGAGATGCCACACCACAGGCGTCCCCGGCTGTCCTCTGCAGGAGGGAGCAGTCTGTGGACCAAAGCTGGATGCAGAGCATGTTAGCAAGAACCGACTGCCTGTGAACAACTCTTTGGAGCTCTTGCTGCAGAGAAGAAAAACGAATGGAAACAGGCGAGGATGTGCAGGGGGAGTTTGCTGGTTCCTTTTTTTAAAGAAGGGAGGAATACCTATGTGCTTATGTGCTCCCAAGAACAATCCAGAGAAAAGAGGACATAGGACTGTGACAGCCGGAAGTGCCTAATTCCCTAAGTAAGGGGGCGGAGTGGCCGCCAGTCAGCCTCTGCAGAGTGTAGCCACCAAGCCTCTGCTTTCTCAGGGAGCTCAAAACTGACCTTTTTCTTTACATAAAAATATGAAGCCTCCTGATACGGAAATGCTGGCAGTTAACTAAGTCTCGTTACCTCTGTGGAGGCCAGGCAAAACTCCTCTGCAGGCTGCTGGTTACCAACTGGCAGGCTTTGCTCCCCCACCCTGACTTATCAGGTGCAGCCCCTGTTCTGGGGACCTCCTGAAGACACTGGCGGTTTAAATCTCTACAGTCTCGGAACCATCCGTGCCCAGTGGTGGTGCCTGGCCAGGGCAGCTAATGACACAGTCTTTGTCCCTTTCATAAAAGGCAGCGGAACCGAGGCTGCCAGAGCCCTCCGTACATCCTATACTTAAGTCCTCCGAGTTAATACTTAGGCTTCACATGTGCCTCTTACCTCCTCCCCCTCCTCCTCACTAAGGAAACTGACTATTATCTTCGGGCCAATGCAAATAAAGGTCACCAAGAGACACTTGCAGGCCAAACACCAAATGCTGGCGGCCAGGAGAAGGGCCTATTGTTTCAATGTCCCAGCTAATAAAGGAAATGCCAATCAAAGGAGGCCTCTGGCCTGGCCCACACTCAAAAGAAAGCGTAACTTGTCAGTAACAGCCCCAAGCAGGACAGCGTTGGGATCTCCAAAGATGGCCAGCACCTGCTCAGGACGGGCAGAGCCTGTGACTTCACAGTCCTTTACAGACACACAGGGCCTGCCAGGCGGTGAGGAGAGTGTTGACTTCAATTTCAGGGCTGCCTTCCTCCAGAGGCAAGAGTGAGGCGCCATCTTGGAACAAGTCTACATTTGTATACCCATGAGAGGCCTTTTCCTATATAAAGGGGAAAATCCTCGCCCTTTCATTTTCCCCATGGAATACACGTGTTAGGAACACTTCTTGGGGCTAGAGAGAAGGATCGGAGGCTAAGAGCTCAACTGAGTTTGGTTCCCACACCCACGCCAGGTCGGGTACAACTGCCTGTAACAACTGCTTCAGGGCATCTGACACTTTCTAGTTTCTGTGAGCACCTGCACTGGTGTGCACATACTCCCACACAGGTACACATGCCCATAAACAAAAACAGATCTTAAAAAAGAAAATCACTCCTTAGCTACAGTGCTGGCTTGACCAGGTGCCACCTGCCTCTGCTTGAAAGTGATTGCCATCCCCAAATTATATGTCAAATGACTTCCTCCTGTTGAAAAGGAATGACCAACGCCTGGGCGTGGGGAGACAGCGCTCATACCCAGAACATGTCACTGTCACTCATCTTTTGGTTCAGATCTCTGGAGAACAGCATATTCCAACTATCAACTTATACCCTAGGCTCTAAAATAGGTCTATTTTAAATAAATATAGGAAGAACAGGTATGTTCTTCCATTTTGATACAACCTGCCTGGGAGAATGAGGGAGATGGGGGAGGTTTTGAACAGGCCAAAGACAGACAAGATGGGCAGCTGGAGGTGTAGCTCAGTGGCAGAACTCAAACTTAGCACCCATGAGACCCTGGGTTTACTCCCGAGCACAAAACCAAACCAACCAACCAAAAAGCCCCTGTTGAAGCTTGGCATGCGGGTGCATGCCTGTGAAGAAAGGTTTCTACCATGCAGGTTAAAACATTTCCATTCTTGAAGAGAGAAGGAAATTGGGGTCTACAGGGACATTTCTCAAGAAGTCCCCACTGGAGACAGAGTAGGAGGACAGCAGTGGTGGCGAGCATAGGTTTTCAACGTGACATTTCAACAAAAACATTTCAAGGAACCCCCAAAACATGAGTGGTTGAACTCAAGCTACCAATATTATAAGAGCGATGTGGAGG